CTCAATAATACAGTTATGCCGAGGTTCATAGAAAGCCGTACTTGGAAGATAAAAACACCGTCTTGTACATCGGTTGGCCAACGCAAGTCATTGTATAGGTCAAATACTCATTCAATACGCTACTACGATCCCGAGTGAAAGTCGACTGCGGGGCGCATCCCTCAGATGGAACTGATTTATGCCCTAGGACTTTAAGGTTAAAGGGATGCTAATATCGTTTCAGACTATCACAACTAAACTGTTAATCCTTTCAGTAAGCCAGAATCTATATGGTTGGTTCCCCTGACGTTCCCTTGAGCAAGCATCTAACCGTGGCCTTGGGCTTGTTTCAAAATGTGCGTCACCGTTTCCCTGGAAAATTGACGCGTTGAAAGGGCTATGAGTGCACCCCCGCGAAATATTCACTCGACCGTGGAATTCAAACTATTGTGTGCAACAGAGATGGGAATGCCATGGGAAATTTTCTGTTTAACCCACCTAAGCAAAACTAATTGCTGAATGTGGTCATTTGACATGTGTAACTGCTAGCCGGTGTCACCAATCACAACGGGTAACGGGCCCATTAACATGTCATTCCACCAATTTGATACACATACGGCTATATATAGCAAAGGCTGGTCCATGATCCTTATCCTTCCTTCCTTGACGTAGATGAACTCTTCTGGACACACCAGAACATGAGTTATTACCACCTTCTTGGCAGCCGCATCTCCATCTCTTACGACGCGCTCTAGTGGCCGTACGTCCTTGTGGGAGTTGGCTACAACTTCCTCTTTCAGCTTTGCACAGACCTTTTCATTTATGCTTTTACCATTAGGAAAAGACACATTTTTGGGGATTCAATGTTACGAAATATTCAAAATTGCCGTCATCGAGAAAAAAACGTGGCACTTTGCCCTTTCAAAAGTGATGGATGTCGGCAAGAAGTATTCATTTTGTTCAGTATTTCTGTCTCAACGTGGAATGTCTTTCCCTGTTCATCATTCATTATAGAGCAATCAGCTCACTGCTCTCAATCGATCCGATCCGGTTGCGCCATGCACTTGAATTCGTTCGCAGATGCCAAAGGACTTCTAAACTCTCTCGCTTGAACCACACTAGCTCAACTCAAGGCCTAACGATTTAGTGGAAGCAATTAAGAGCCTCATGAGCCTAGGACTTTATTTCGCTGTAGTTTTGAGATTCTCCTGGGCTTCAGAGGTGCCCTATGGGCACATGGTGTATGCATTGGGTTTCTGAACAGCTTTATTTGTAGTTTCAAAAAACAGATTTGATCAACTGCGATTGGTACTGCTATGTGACTTCTCTCGTCTTTAAGTTACTAAGCTGTTATGGTCACGATCAATGTTGTCATCCCTGAGTTACACTGTCAATATCTATGCGTAAGCAGTGACTCATCTGGATGCCAATAACTACAGTACTCCACTACCAGGACTTCTGATTACCAGTAAATTTACTCACGAATTACTCGTTCGGCAAATTTTCTCTATGGGTTCACGTTTACGTCCTGTTTTTTCGTTTTTTTAGTTTACGAGATATATGGGAGAAATACCCGTCTAGAATTGGCATCAGTCAGAGAGAACCCATTTGTATGCAGAGAAAATTCTCTATTTCTGTCCCTCATGGGCTTTTACCCTCTCGATTGTTTCCTTCAGCTTCTTCTTTTTCCTACAGGGGTATTTGCCAAAGGGAAATCTTGCAATTAATCAAACCACAGATGCCGGAGTTGTATAGTTCAGATTGCTATAACTGTCATTGAGAAATAATAACATTGGCCAATATGGAAACGATTTTCAGCTCAGCAATGTTCGATGGTCCTTTGCCTTTTTTCACATTCTATTAAAAATGCTGACGACTTCATTGCAAAGAGGTTATTTTCGTTTCAGCCACAGGAGTTTTTCTTCTAAGCTATTATTATAGTCCAAAAATTAGAGCTGGAACGCGAGCAGGGCTTAATTGCCTGACTCAATAGAAACTTGCTGAAAAAAAAACTATGAAAACTCTTAATAGACCTTTTTCACTTTTCTATTTTGTTTTCTTTCAAACAACGTCGGCTTAACCGGCGACCTACTTCTGACTCAATAGCACTGTCCTCGACGAACCAGCGGGCAAAGAGAAGAGGTGTTTAGTTCAAAAAGCATTTCTGAGATGATGGTTAACCTCCTTTTTTGATACGATTGCCAACCGAACGGATCTGATCAACTTATTGGAAGGTACTGTTGTCGTCATTATACAAAAGGTAATCCATTGATGGAGAGCTCTGGTAGGTGTGGGAATGCCTTATGAGTCTTTGAATATCTGAAGTGCTTCGCTATTTAGCTTGATGACAGGAAAGTTTCATGCCGAGAACACCAGCTCAGTGATGCCTTGAGAATAGTACCCACAAGGGAGCCATAAAGTATGAAAGAACTTCCTGTCCTATAGTTAGCAAGGATGGCTCATGCCCTATAGGGTGGTGAAACTTCCCAAAACAGGTACTATGGTGGAATGGAAGAACTAGGGTAACTAAGTCCCACCTGGTCCCAACACTGCTCCTTTTCAGTTATCACCTTAGGTGGGGGAGGGGGGGGGGGGGGGGGGGGGGGGGG